TTTCCCTAGGCGGCTGGTGAAGCACTGGGACGGGTTCCCTAGGGAGGGGGTGGAATCTCCATCCCTAGAGATTTTAAAGTCCCAGTTTAACAAAGCCCCGGCTGGGTTGATTTAGTTGGGATTGGTCCTGCTTTTAGCAGGGGGCTGGACTTGATGCCTCCTGTGGTCTCTTCCAGCCCTAGGATTCGATTATTCTATCTGACTTAGGGTTTCCCCACCTATGAGTCGGGACCCCAATATGGGTCACCATTACATTTCAAAAGGGTCACCAAGTATCTCCCCCAGGTGGGTCTGTCCTCCCTCCTCCCCCCGTTTTTTAATTGCCCTGGGTCACCAAGACTTCCTGAATTGTCAAAATGGGTCCCCATCTGGAAAAGGTTGGGAACCACTGATATAGAAGGACGAAAATCTGTCTGTTGAGCCCTGTAGCAGGGTGACACCCACGTCTTGTTAGTGCCTCCCTCTGGCTGAGTGTGCATGCCTGCACTTTCTCATTTAAAGCCTCTTCAGCAATTCTGCCTTCCGGCTGAGTCACACGCCTTCCAGCTACACATTTAACAGGGTCCCATCTCAGTACCATCTGTACGGTGTTTCTGAGTCCAGTCCCTTAGTCCGTTCCCCACTCTGATAGAGAATGGTGCCCACAAGGCTTACCCTCCTGGAGACACCTTTCTCGTCCTTATCTCAGGGCTTTATCTCAAAGCCTCATCGTAGTTCTGCCTCATTGACACAGAGTTGTCCACGATGCTGACACTCCCTCAGCCAGCCCGTCACCCGGTCTTCACACCTTGAGGTCTCCAGAAGCACTGATTGGTGTGTGGCCTTGCAGCTCCTTTTATAGGGCCTTCCTGGCTCCTGATTGGCTCCTTCTCCTGCAGCCATCCTAGCCTGCTTGGAGGACTTCTCTGGGGTGGGGTGGGGTGTGGCAGGACCATAGGGCCTCCGGGAGAGAATCTCAGGGCCTGGTCCCCTGCATCACAAGCCCACATCAGATTGTTGAGTCAGTTCAAATGGCATGTTTACAGTGGTCCTCCCACAATATAAATAGGTAGTCACAGCTGGCAGCTTGCATGGAGAATGGGAGGAGTGGGGAGGCAGGGAGTGAGGTTTTGTGGAGAGAGCAGGAGACCTGGGAGAATTTGAGCAAGTCATCGATCTGTGCCTCAGTTTCTCCTCTTTATAAAAGCAGAAGTGATGACAGAGGTGGGATGGGGAAGGACAGACAGTTGTACTGGGACTCCAAGCTCAGGGCTGCCCCCAAAACCTGGATCCATCTCCTGATTGGGGGGGATATGAATTGTAAGTGTCTATAAGGGTGATTTGAGAGCAGCCTTCAACTTCCTGAATGGAGGTTCCAAAGAGGATGGAGAGAGGCTGTTCTCAGTAGTGACAGATGCAGAACAAGGAGCAATGGTCTCAAGTTGTGGTGGGAGAGGTCCAGGTTGGATATTAGGAATAACTATTTCACTAGGAGGGTGGTGAAGCACTGGAATGGGTTCCCTAGGGAAGTAGTGGAGACTCCATCCCTAGAGGTGTTTAAGTCTTGGCTTGACAAAGCCCTGGCCAGGTTGATTTAATTGGGATTGGTCCTGCCTTGGGCAGGGGGCTGGACTCGATGACCTTCTGAGGTCCCTTCCAGCTCTATGGTTCTATGATTCTACGAGGGAGCTTTTGGGAGAAAGGTCGACCGTTTGCTGTTTGACTGCTGACACTGTCTGCTGAAGACTAAGGACAAAGCCAGGTCAGTGCATTGCTCATGAATGTCTTAAATTTCATTCCCCCACCCAACCTGGTGATT